GGAAGTTGAATATAACATGGAATGGTTAAATAGCCTTATTTAATCTGCTTTGATACTTGTATCAGATCGCTGGCTGTGCTCCGATTGGCTGGAATCATTGTCCCCTTCTCAAATTCTCGATCTCAGTAACTACAAGAACATGCCCTCTACGATAGAAACCAGCCTCGATCAACACCAGTCCCTCCCATTTCTCACCAATACAGCTGATACATATCTCTCGAATTGGGAATTGCGAATTCCCCACTCCATTTCTGAATCCATTGTCCGCATTCCCTCCGCGAAGGAACTCCCTTCTTCCCGACCTAGCATTCCTCCACCACAGTCATGGCAGGCGGCCACTTGAAATACCGGCATCTAAACCGCGACTCCGCACATCGAAAAGCCCTCCTGCGAAACCTAGTCACATCGCTTTTTGAACATGAGGCTATCCAAACGACATGGCCCAAGGCCAAGGAGGCACAACGCCTGGCAGAGAAGCTGATCACACTGAGCAAGAAGAACACGGAAACGAGCAGGCAGAGGGCGCAGGCAGTGTTTTTTGTATGTACAATTTTTCGCTCGTATCTATTGATTATATCAAATATACATATCTATATGTGGTTTTTTAAAGACCAAGTTCTTCGGTGAAATTGTACACACCAATGCCCGCTCTGAGGCTACATCCAGCGTTGATACTATCCCTATCTCCACAAACCAGCCAAACCCAACCCCCCCCCCCCCCCCCCCCCCGCCCCCACACACACACACACACACATATATATAACTAACCACCCTTCCCCCAGAAACCCGAACTCAACACCAAACTCTTCGGCCCCATCCGCGAACGCTACCTAAATCGACCAGGCGGCTACACGCGCGTGCTACGCATCGAGCCCGAAAAGGAAGACCAAGCCCCCTCCGCCATCCTCGAGCTCGTCGATGGACCGCGTGATATGCGCTTTGCCATGACAGCGCGGACTCTGGCTCGCAAGCGCACGGAGGGTGATGATAGCATGAATGAACTTACGGCTCTGAATGTGTTGAAGGTTACGAGGTTCAGGCCTGATGGGAAGAAGGCGTTGGAGAGGGAGGTTGAGAGGATTCAGAGGGAGCAGAGGAGGAAGAAGGAGGAGGAGGAAGGGAAGGGGGAGGTTGATTAGGTTTTACGTGCTCTGTCACTTTTCAAGGGGGGGTGGGGTGGGGTCTGGTAGTGGGTGATATGTTTTTGGCTTAGATTATGTATCCTCTCATGTCTTTTCTAAGAGAGTCTGCTTTATGGTAGCTCAGCTACTTTACTGTACATTATTGGGAAGAAATATTTAAGAAATATTTGACAAACATAGACTGCAAAGCTTCTGATATGTTCATCTCATCTCTCATATATTCACTCTACAAGAGGCTAGAAATAGACATGACTACAAAATGAGCGAAAAAAAAATAAAAAATAAAAAAAAATAAAATAAAATAAAAAACTTTCTTATGCTTCCTAATCAGTCCCTAATCACGCAGGAAAATAGATTTTTAAAAAACTTAACATCAGGAAGAAACAAAACCAGGAGTGGAAAAATATAAGCAAGGGGGATATAACATGACCACGGGGGTAGAGCTTCCATATAGATAGAAGGACATAATCTGGATATCATCAAAAGAAAGGTTCTAGGAGGATTTTCCTCTCCTTTCCCTGTTTCTCTTTCTTTAAAAATCAGCCAGGACCAAAATGTGGCCTAAGAAAGAAAGAAAGAAAGAAAAAAAAAATAGATCAAAACATCTCAACAGCCCAACCTCACCTGTAACATGCCCCATTTAGATGAAACCAAACTCATTGCTGAATGTCAGATTCATTTAATGAGTGGAGAAATGCAGATTACTGATGATGGCAAACACTTATGAGGAAATTGTAACAGACAGTATTATCAGCCAAATCAGTAATAAGCTTTGTGAAAGGCTTTCTTCCTTTCATTTCATTTTCTGCCAAACACCCCACCCCAAAATCATTAACCAGAAAGCATTCAGACACCCTCTATCCCTTCACCAACCCCCCTGCCACCATCTCACTATACCACTGTTAAATCCTGTTCACTCCCATATTCCTCTGAACCCAATATTCACTCATATTAACCCATGCCATACCCCGCAAACTAATGTAGTATAGGCAAGAAATTTAAGTTTATACACCAGTGGTCATATTGCCACGGGGTCTCTGGTGGGAAATCCCGCTGGATACGACAAGAGGACCACTCTGCTTGGGGAGAGAAGGGGGTGGGTTAGTAAATGATGACTGGAGAGGTAACGCGGAATTTTTGTTTTTGAGATCGAAATCATAAGGTACTTGAGACGGCGGTGGTTTTGGCGGGAGATGGGCTGGAGTACCCCATTTCGCTATTGAGTCGTGAGGGCCGGAAGAGGGGCCGTGAATAGGTGAGTGAACCATGGCGGGAGGGGGTGCAGAGGTCTTCATGTTAGATTGGGAGTTCAATTGGTTTGTTGGGGGATAGTTCGTCGATGGGTGGTGAGGTTGGTCCTGGTTGCCTGTCCATGAAGGTGGAGTGGAGTATTGAGGAGGCGAGTTCATGTAGGGCGGGTTCATTGTTGGTGGCGGGTTTCCGGTAAATCGAGATTGAGAATTGCCTCCAGGAACAAAGGATCTTGTTTGGGGGTTGAAGGTTGAACGGGAGAAACTTCCTGGAAAAGGATGCTGTGTTGAATTATTTTGATTGCCGGGCGGGAACCGTTGGTTTTGCATTTGATTGTAAGGGAAAGTCACCTGACCCGAATTTATTGAGTGTTGGGGGTAATTTGGCCAGAGAGTTGCAGACGAACTACGTTGGGTGGATTGTGGGGAATATGGGGTTGGGTATTGCGGTTGGTTCCACGTAGAGGTGTTTTGTTGCTGGAATGGAACCGTGTTGGGAAGTGCATATGAACCTATTCCCGGCGAGGATCTGGTTGAGGCCTGTTGAGGAACCATTGGCGGCATTTGGTTGACCGGGGAAAATCCAGCGTATGGAGGGGATGGCTGCAAGTGTCCGGGATGCCAATTATTTTGATTCATGTGTGGCGGGGCATTAACTGGGTATTGAGGTGCAGGAACTACATTCCCACCAGGTGGTTGATACGCTGGAGTAACATGGTTGTTGTCATGAGGGAAATTTGCCGATGGTGGTAGCGAGGAGGCCGACACATAGTAATGGCTCTGTGCACCGAATGATCCATCTGGCATAACTCCGTTAAATGGTAGAGGTGCACTTGAGTATGGTGCTCCTGGATAGTATGCGTTGAACTGGGACCTTGCTTCAAAACTGTCGTCATGAGGGGTTCTCTGTTTGTGGCCTTTTCGTTTGCCATTCCGCGAGTTGGACCGTGAGATATTCGCACTCTGATCTCCATTGTTTGAATTGTCGGAAGTCTTAGATTCTGGGAAATCCCTGAATATGCGCTCTCGGGCTTCTTGGTATTTTGCTTCACGTTCCTCTCGACTCATTGTTGCCCGGTCTTTTGCGGGAGTGGCTCCAAGCGATGATCCCGCTCCTTCCTCGTTACCATCTGCACCGGCTTCCGACGTAGCTTTCGAAGGAGCTGAAGAGCTAGGTGCCGTGCTCCCAGCACCCGACATGCCCCCTCCTGTTTGACCAGAGCGACGCATAATTTTCATCGCTGGGGCATTTGGAGGTGGGGTTTTGTTTGCATTGGGTGGTTGGAGCATGCTTAGCGGAGTTGGCCTGATTTTCATGTTAGTGACCTGCTATTGGCACAAATTAAGGCTCTGTATGGAACTCACAGTCTGCACCATGGTGTTCTGTGAAGTCGAACGGATGTCACATTATTGTCGACAAAGTGAGTTAGATGATAATAATCGCCCAACTTGTGCGCGAGAAGTCGCCCAAAAGCGTTGCAAGGAGGCAGTTCCAAAGATTGTTCACTTGTTGTAGGTTAGTAGAGCGTCAAGAAAAGCTCGCTGTCATCGGGGTTCACGTACGCGGAGTCCTTGATGAATGCGATAATTTTCTCTTCTAGTTGAAGTATCAATAACCGATCTTTAGGAGAAATCATCGCTTCAAGCAGCTTCTCATCCGGTTCATTAGGAAAACTATGGAGAACCTGTTCGGTTTTGCCGTTTGGGGAGATTATTTCAGTGAGGCCCGTATTATTGAGTCGTGTTCTATTAGGAAAACGCTCAGAAACTCCTTGGTCAGACAACCGATACAGGCGTCCACTAGCTTCAGAACCGACTTGGGAATTGGGAGCATCTGAAGCAGGTCCTGAGAATAAATCATCCTCTTCTGCTGCTTGTACACTAGCGCTATCATCTGGGCGCAATGACTCTTTTTCATCCATCGCAAAGGTGGTAACAGATGCCATGCTCTTCGAGTCAAAACTCGTAGGCTTTGTAGAAGAGTTCGATAGGTAGGTTTGATCGTCTTCAAAGGCTCCCTCAGGCTTAATTCCGACGTCATCCCGGCCATCGCCAGTTTCCGAATGTGCATCACCATCATCCTTCTCCAGATGTATACGGAAACTTTGAACTGATTTATTCAGGTTTTCTATGTTTTCGGGATCCTCCTGATGTATATTCTGAGGAGGCTCGTTAGGAGCTATCTCTGAAGGACCATTTGAGGCTTCCTCAGCTCTCATAGGAATAGAGTTGTCAGGAGCATTGTCAACGTGCGTAGCGGGAGACTGCTTTGTTGGCGGAGGGGGCATCGCAGCAACCTAAAGCAAAATAATTTAGTTATAATCACCAATGGAAATACACAGATATATATAAGGAGCATGGCGGGCATACCTCTGCAAAGGATGGGCGCTCCATATCCGGCCGAGAAGTTTTAGAGGCGATGGAGGCCAAAATGCTGATCTCACGAATAGCCAGCCAAAATGACAATACCAACGTCTAACTTTCAAGATATCAATGCAATCTAACAGGCCATCGACTACGGGGATCAAGCGGAGGCAATTTCACAAGAAAATCCCACTTCACACAAGTCCAGATCCTTGGGCGACATATCTCTGGGTAACGAAGTTCGCCATACGAAAATATACTAAACGAGAGTTCACAAAAGAAAATATGCCGCAGATCAGGAAGCAGAGGACATGGCAAAGCACACAGGAATTCAATGGGTATGTTCGACGAAAGGAATGGACGATGCGTCTTATTCACTGTAGAAAAGTCGAACGAGACTCCTTTTTAAGGGTCAGAACAGAAGTTTCATGCCGCTGAAAAAAAAAAAACCGAGAGAAGACGAAGACACGCGTGGGGTGGGAACACAGACAAAATGCAATGCAATATCACTGTACAAAGGGCGAGATTGACCAGCCGACAGAGATAGCAGGGATGCGGAGCAGGTCGTAAGGGCCTGGACGATGAAATCGCTTTGGGTAGCTGAACTGGATGTTCTGCAGTGGGGATGCTTGGACGTTGAATGGGGCGCTAAGGTAACTAGGCCGATATGATTAGTCAGTAGCTAGCCGCGCGGTTGCGCTAACGCTAACGCTAAAACTAGCACCCAACGGATATGGTAATTCGAGGATCTTGCGGACGGATATACCAGGAACAAACCACAGAAACTAAATTTATTTTACGACTGACTACAGGAGGGAAAGGCAAACCCCCAGGCTAAATATACTACCCGGTCACCTACAGTTCTACAATAGGGCAACAAACCGCCACAAAGACGATAGTCTAGTGTTACATGCGCAGGGGTATTTATCCTCTCTGCGAAGTCCAGCTTGAATCCAGGATGCAATGAATCGATATCGTAATATTCCTGGCTTAAAGCCCACATCCAAGGCGTCACCAACCACGCTTTGCCAGAAATGTCTTAAAAGAGATAAGTTTTTGGGGTCCTGGTCATTCGCATGGCTCTCCAGCTGACGAAAGATTACGACACTATAGCTATGAATGTAAGGCATCGGCTCAGGAACGGCCCTATATATCTCGTCCATCCAGGACGCAGCAGCTAGCAAACCCCAAACTGGTGCCGGAGCTAATGAGCGATGTTCCGAATGATCTATTACGAACGTACGCATATATCCCAAACGTACTGTAATTGAGTTCTCACACTGACAATCTTCACAGAAAGGGTGTAGCTGATGAACAGCTAGCGCTGAAAGAGAATGAACGGAGTCGCAAAAGGGACTCCGATTATGATGATAGAGACCACGAAGGTATTCGGGGGCATTCCAGAAAACGGGCAAGATCCGTTTCTCCAGCGTACTCAGCAGATTCCGTTTCCACGATTTCAACAAACCGATCCTGGTCTCGATCTCCACGGCGAAAACGGGACCTATCACCATCGCCGGGTAGGTCGAGGGAGCGGAAAAGGAAAATAAACGAAAGTTTTTCAAGAGCTTCCCATCTCTCTGCTTCTCCTGTTGAGAAAAAGAGAACACCTTCCAAAGCAACAGATCGAAATAAAAGGCGGAGAATGAGGTCGCAGAGTCCCCATGAACGAGGCCGGCAGTATGACCCAGACAGACGAGGGAGCTGGAGAAACAGGTCGCAAAGCCAGAGTATGGATAGAAGTTCGATTGCGAAACAACGGTGGTCTTTGACTCCTGATGGCATGGATCGAAATGGTGGATATACAGACCGTGATCGTTCTCATCAGCCACGCAGCCAGGAGAGGTTCCAGGAAAGACCACGGAGCATTCGGAATCATGAGCCTCCTTATCGTGGGGCGAGAGGCGTTCTTCGGAGTCCACCCTCGCCCAGGGAGCGAAGTCTAAGCCCCTTCAGCAAACGACTGGCTCTTACCCAGGCCATGAATATGAATAGGTAGAGAGGACAGTATATTTTAGCCAGAGGGATATTTTATTGCGGGCGCATATTTTTTTAATACATCTAATTGTGTTATAATAATTTTATCGTTTTCACCCTCTAATTCGGGCTAATATTAGACCATTATTGTTATCTTGTTGTTTTGAAGCTAGTATCGTAAATGCAGCAACAAATATTAAGGAACTCAGCCCAAGTCTTAACATCCCTTTAATATTCGATCAAAGCTTAATGATCTGCCTATGTACCTGTACACGTCCCAAACCGTGACGCCGTCCCTAAACGATATTGAAACTCCCTATATGATATCGTGAAAATGAAATAACAACAACGCAACCCTGGTATCATTCCATCTCGTCGTCTTCCTCCCTTTCCCTCCTCTCCTCTTCAGCTTCATCCCGTTCTCTCAAATGTATTCCTTCGACAAGTGCCCCTCCATCCATCCCCACCTCTTGACCATCCCCATCACCCCCGCCAGAGCCCATATTTTTCTCCCTAGCCTCCCTCTGCGCATTCTGTATTCTCTCACGAACCAATCTCGCAATCGCGTTCTGAGTCCTGACATTCACAATCTTCATCTTCTCATCGAGATCCCGTTTCAAGTCCCAATTTGGCTTTTTAGGCTGGAGCTTAAATAGATCGATCGGTTTATCGGCTTCCTCGTCCTCTTTGGCAGCTTGTTCAGTTGATATCGCAATTTTGGCCGCTTGTTCTTCCAGTGTCGTTTGTCCTTCTATTGGCACATGTTCAAAACCAAGCTTTGGTCCCCGGGTCTCGGGATCGTAGTTTCTTCCGGATAGGAACCGCGAAGTGACATCTTTTGACATTTCTTCCTTTGCGCCATCTTGCTTCGAGACATCTTGTCCTGAGGAATCTGGTTCGGGTTGCTTTCGTTTGAGAGCGGCGAGCTTAGCAAGACGGGCTTTTCGCTCCGTCGCCGCAGCATCAAGAGTGGTATGTGTAGATGCCATGGAGTTATTTGCGGAGAGCAAAACTGAAAATTTATAATAGAGAAGCTTGCAGCGTGTAATTATTTGTCCTGGACATATTACAGTTAAGTAAATATGTCCCTTGTTGGTTTGCTCTATTTTAAATTCAGCCACATAGCCACCAGCCACATATTTGTCAGCCACAACCGGCTAGCATAAAAGTTCCCCCAATTTACGCTCAGTCGCAACAGAAAACCTAAATTTTGAAGACAACGTCCAACATCCAAAAGCCACTGGATCGGTCTCCGTCTGCATCGTTCTACAACACTATGCAATTATACCGCAAGCCATGTGGGACCAGTATACAGTCTAAAAAATACAGCCAGTTGCACTATCAATGCTGAACTCCCTGCATGCTCGTTCGCCCATGCAGTGTTTATCGCTGCGAGCGCCGTTGCTCGCAATCAGGCCAGCATTCGACAATTAGGCGTCTATCATTTCGCTGTGAAATCTTGCAGCCTGCATATGTAGCCAGATTTTACCGTAGCCGACCTGGGGCCCTCCTTCACAATGTGCAGGGCCACGATATTACACTCCCCAGTGCCGCAAAACGGACCCACCATATTTCACTTTCTCCCGCTCAGCTCTCGTCCCAGAATCGAGGGACACAGACTCCATATCTCGCTGGCTGTGCCAGTTTTCTTATGGGGCGAATCCTACTGCGGAGGGGTTTCATTGCCTCTTTCCTATACAACTCCGCTATTCAAAACCGACCATACTATTCCGACGCAACTGCCATCTCCCCATGCCATCAAATATCTCACTCGGACCAAGATGTTCCCAGGGGTCAGACTGCCACCCCTGAGGATAGTACATTTAGAGCTAACGCTCAAATAGCTCCCCCTTTTCCTGCGGAAAACACAATCACACATACATCTTGGCGCACTACCTACACGCAGAGTCCTGATGCTGATTCAGGCCGAAAAAGCTACAATGATGATCGTCAAAGGAAAGACTCAGCAATCCGGGAGGCCATCAATAAAGCGATAGACGCAGCAGCGGCGGAGAGCCACCGCTTTTTAAAACCTTCTCAACGTCGGCGAGAATACTTCTTGAGATCAAAATGTCTCTATACCAAAACCTTAATTCATCCGCATTGGAACGACCATTTCCACAGTTTGTATCAGCACAAATTGAAAGGGGAAAATATGTCAACATTATGGGAAAAACTAAAGTTAGATTATGAAGAGGAGGCGATGAGATGGCTAACTGGGATCAACTGGATCACAGAAGACCTGCACTATTTGGAGAGACAATGGTTCAAACTTACCCGGGACGAAAGAGCGAGGCTATGGCCTCCCATTGCGCTTTGGTTACTCATCAATTCTCCGCGAGCTGCTCTTTCATTTCTTGTTGTGACAAGTAGACCACCATATGCGGCTTTTAACATGATCGCGATGTGCTTTCTGTATCTTCGGGCATTTCATTTTGATAAGGACTTTGCCCCGGATGAGCGATACAACAAGCTCTACCATATGGCACTCCGTTCCTGCCTTAATCCAAGCAAATGGCCGGTCATTCAGGCATTCGAGCCCGGGATACGCGTGTACCTTTCTCAAGTCCCTCCCAAGGATATGGCTGCCGCATTTGACACCGTCGTTAACCAAAAAATTTACCTCGAATACCAGACCCTAACCTTCTTTATGGATCTTTTTATCAAGCAAGGCGATATTTCAAGGTCGTTAGCGGCTTTAAAATTAGTTCGAACCTCTCATTGTTATCCTCAGATTCTCTCAAATCCGCATGTTTTGGACCGTTGCTGTATGCTCCTTTCTTTGGATTATGTGATTGAAAAGGACAATCGGCGGTATTTTAGGATCCTACCAGAGATCTTAGATTTTGGTGTTCCTTTAAATCAGCCCATGCTGAACATCATCTTCCGCAACGCCCTGAAGCAGAAAGTCCCGGAGTTCGTGCCGCATGTTCTACACGAGATGGGGGAGAAGGGCCTTTCTCCGAACTCATATACGTATATATCCCTTTTGGATGATGCGGTCTCCCGTCGTGATCTGCAGCACCTTGATGTAATCGTACGAGAGATTAGTGATCAAGAATCTCTCAGGACAAATCCGTTTGTCACAAGCAAGATGCTCCACACTTTCTATTCACTGGACCGCCTCAACCCAGATGGAGGGTGGGGAGACACCGATATGTTCTCCCGCATGCTGAATATATATAGCAGAGCCCATAATATTCAACCCCTCGTGGATTTAGGCATCATTCACGAAGGCCAGGACGGTCTATATCTAGACGAATCGGAAGAATCCCCACCTTCAAACCACGCTTTATGCATCATGACTGCTGCATATCTAAGAATGCTGAGCAGTACAAAAGAAGTGCGCAATGTCTTCAACCGTTTTCTAGAGCTACGCGATCAAGGGCATGAGGCCATCGGACCCTTGGCGGAATCAGACTATATATACAACACATTCCTCTATGAATTTGCGCATCGCCGTGCACATCGAATGGAAAATTGTGTCGCGGTCCTGAACACCATGCTCCAACCACTACCACCCAGTGCCGTTCTCCAATCTCAGAACAACCGTCCCCTCGAACAAGTCAAGCCGACGATCCATACATGGACTATCTTCCTAAGCGCGTTTGTTCGCGAGCGTCAGCCCCAAGCCATCGAGAAGGTTCGCGATATGATGGCGAAGCAAGGTCTGAAGTTTAACGACTATACCTGGAATACTGCGGTCAGAGGCTTTTCCAAAATGCAGATGGTGGAGCAGGCTGCTCAGGCAGTGAATAAGATGGTGAAGGAAGGGTGGACTGTTGATGAATATACATTGAGAGGTATGCGGTATGTCCGTGATTATGATCGATTTTTTGCTCTGCTGGATAATGTGGAGGCCAAAATCAATGGCGATGCAAGGAGCAAGTCGGTTGAAAGAGAATGGGTGACGAGGTAGTGGAAAGTGAAGAATACAGAGAGCCAGTGGAAAACGAAGGATACGACGAGCCAGTTGAGAGTCCAGTGGAAATCGACGGCTGTGTAGGAGTCAATGAATTGACATCCTGCCTAACTAAGATATACCCTAGGTGTTGTTCTGTTCATGTGTAAATTAATAATTATATGATATTTTCGCTTTTCATTGTACCATACAGTGTCGATATAAAATAGTTAAATGTACCATCACTTATAGAAATTCAGACTCGATATAATATGCTATGCAACCCCTTTGGAGACGAACGAAGAGCAAGCTCTATATCAACATTCAACATTATTTATGTATTTCATTATAGTGCCCCAAATCTGTGAATCCTAGAAGAAAAGAAAGTCCCAATATATAAACACATGAAAACTCCCAACATCATGCATGCAGTAGAGGAAAGAGAGGACAAGAGCGAGACTGGTTCAAGTTGCCCCTTTTACTGTCCAAAAAATAACGATATCTGAAAGTGATTGACTCGTGTCAGTAGACGTGTATGCCAAGTGTATTCATGCAGTTGCTCTATCCCCCCAAAAGAACTTACAGCCATGGCTAGACAACATAAACTGACGTAGGGACTAAGCCGTTCCCCAACCCGAGCGCATTTCCAGAAGATGCCGAAGAAGCTGTATACGTCCACCAACCGATATTGCAGTTAGCAAACTAGACTTAAAGAACATGTATATACACTACAGTTTGGAGGAATCCAAAGTTCCATACCCGTTCTGGTTGCGATCCATTATTCCCGGCATTATCGAATGGGCATAAGTGCTTGTGCAGATGATGAGGAGAATGACGAGGAGGAGGGATTGGAAGTTGAAGAACGCAGTCTATTGAATATCTCTCAATATTAGTCATCTGAGAAGAAGATGAGGAGTAACAAAAGGCCGGGTACGAGGGAAGGGCTGGTAGATATAAACGAATTCACTGACCATTGTGAGGGGAGCAAGCGATTGCTTTGTGTTTGTGCCGTTCGCACAGGTTTCACACCAAGTCCTTTACAAAATCCCAATATAAAATCCTCCAACTCTTTACAGTTGTGCCTGCTCCGAGATCTTATCATAAACCTCTCCGTTCGTCCTCCGTTGCTGAGTAGAAACCAGCTATCACTCAAGATACTCCATACAAACTTGGCCAGTGACCGGTCTCGCTTAAAAACACGTTCCATCCGCCAAGCGCTCATTAGACGCGCGCCACTGAAGTATTACCGCTAAGCGCCATGGATCATCCTCCGGGGGAACGACAAAGCATCGTAGTCGGTGATTTCCACTATTTTGTGAAGAATGCTCCTCATCGCCAGAATTACTATGAACTTGAGCACGCATTGAATTCGGCGGACTTGGCGAATGCGCTAGCTGGTGAAAAGAAAGGCACTCCTCCACCCAAGACGAAGGCAGATGACAAACCTCATGCAGCGGACGAGAATACAACCAACTATCTAGCCCGTCGCAAAGCGAGAAAGTTGACTACCGGCATGGCTGAACCGCGAGTTAGACTTACTCGACATCAGGGCCAGCTGAATTTTGGGAATGAGTGTATGGCTTTGCCCTTTCCTTTACTCCTTAAGCTATCTTCCCCAAGTTCTTTCCCGTAATCCTCAATCTATTTTCTCCCCTTATATACAAACCTTCTAACAAAGAACGCACAATAAAAACAAACTAACAAACAAACAGTACGCCACCTTCTACACGCCTATGGCGACCCATCCCCACACCCCTCTTACCCTCAGGAACCCCTCCCCGAAACCCTCCGCGTCCTCGACGAGATCGTTACAGACTTCATAATCGAAACCTGCCACTCCGCTGCCCAGTGCGCCACCTACTCGCGCCGCCAGAAGATCAAAGTCGATGACTTCCGCTTCGCCCTGCGCCGTGACCCGGTCAAACTAGGCCGTGTGCAGGAGCTGTTCCGCATCGAGCGTGAACTCAAGGAGGCGAGGAGGGCGTTTGATCAGAACGATGACCAGGTTGCGGCTAGTGGGAAGAAGGGGTTAGAGGAGTTGGCGGAATCAGTTGTTGAGGGTGGGGATGGGTCTTCTGCTGCGGCTGCGGGGGCGAAGAAAGGGAAGGGCAAGGCTTCGTCTGTTTCGGTTGCGGGGAAGAGGGCAGTTGATACAGCTTCCGAGGGGGTTGTTGCGAAGAAGAGAAAGAGTGTTGCTGGTGGTTCTGTTACTTGAATTGGGTGGTATGTGTTTGGGGTCGGCCTGGATTGAAGATAGGGGACGCTTTTGTGGATTAATCTGTTTACATCTCCAAGTTTCTTATTGCATGGCGTGGTGTTGGGCTTCCTAGGGTGGGCGTTTGTTCTATTTAAATTCTTAGAGTTCATAAAGCACTGTATAGTGAGTATGTATCAAATTTGCATCTTTTCCCCCCATTGGACGTATACATATACAAATTTTGAATGTGCCCTCACGAAGTGATCACTTTTGTCTATCTTAAATCATGTATGCAACACCGAGATCTCACGCTTTTTCTATAGCAGTCATAATATCCCGACATGACGAAATAGCAAAGTCTACATATCTCATCATTTCGTGTTAAGAGGCAATGGGTCTCTCGCATTTTGAAAAGAAAATAACTAGGGGTCGTAAAGTGGGCAAGCGGTAAAAGAGAGTAAACGAGAAGAAAAGAAAATCAGACAAAAATCGAAGGCCAAAAACAACTCCAATGACGCCTTGCTTTGTGTCCCAAATCTGGGCAGCACTGCAATGTGGTATGGTGAAACCACGGGGCAAGCCATATCAGACGACTACACATCCCGTGGAAAGAGAAAATGGAGGTACACTATCGAAGAATGGAGGTGAAACCGTTAAATCTGCAGGTTGGTATTTTGGTTGCAATTGCATATATTAATTTCCGTTCATGCCTCGACCCCACCACGGTCTTGAATTCGCTGCTGCCCGCCTCGTCCACGGCCGCCGCCACGTCCGCCCCGCTGGCCTCCCGACTCTCCACCTGCACCACCAGCGTGGGCACTTGCGGCGCCCTCACCACCAAGAGTTAGTTGGGCAGTAGCTAATCGGTTGGAAAGCTCCATTTGTGTGCGGATGGTGTTTGCGAGGTAGGAAACCACAAGTACATCCTGGATGTGGTTGTTACTGTAGATATAGGTTAATAGATAGTATCATACAACAAACCGAACCGCTAAAAGAATGTGAGGGCACATACAAGTCATTTTCGATATCAGCGGCGTCAACCTTTGGAGCCAAGGCGAGGGCATTGAGAAGGAATTGACCCAGGGCAGTTGAAGCGGGAGCTTCCTCATCCATTACATTTTCAACATATTTCGATACTCGATCGATCATGCCCAGAACATCTTCGATGGCCTTTTCGAGCGCCTCAATATCAGTGAACAGGTTGGCGGTGCGATTTTCGCTGTCTCTGGCAGCGGCAATGGCCTCCAAACCATTCCTCTCTGCATCGCCGTATCTGATTTCATAAGGCACGGGTATGAATGCAGCGCTATCAGCGGCTCTTTCCTCTGTGACGCCCACCGGAGCTGAGATGTATGTCCTAGTCTCAATATCCTTCCCGGGAACCGTAGATACTGTTAAGTGTACGGCTGGGTGAGGCCACGTTCCATTTCCTTGGCTACCGTAAAAATTCTGAATGAGCGCAGAGAAGGTATTGAGTTCTGAGGATGTAGCATACCAACCCACAAGGACTTCCTTGGGGTTGGCTTTCAAGTGTAGAGCAAGCATCTGCTTCTGGTATTCCATATCAACCTCGACCTGGTCAGTTGTCTCCGTGTGTCCGACGGCGAAACAAGACCGAATTTCGATTTCAGAACCATCCTCGGATCGGGTCCCCAGGAGAGTACCAATGACGCGTTCCTGATCGGCATTGCGACGAAGGGAATGATCAAGAATGGAAAATATCGCCTATTTAAGGGCATTAGAAGTGTGAATGTTCATGCATAGGAGCTTCTCGTAGGGGGCGCTATATTCTTACTTGTGGCAGTATCACGACGTTGAGAGGTCCGGTAGAGGGTTGAGCGCCAACAGGAGCAGGGCCCAGAGGCCGCGAGAGATGGAGAAATGAATCCGTATCAGCCATGCTGGGCAGTACAAAATCCCACGTCACAAGCAAGCTTCAGGAGAGGCGGTGGGAGGAATTGATGTTGCTGTTGGTCGGCCTGGAGAAGTTGTTGCAGGTTGCGGTGGTTCAAATGGGGCTTAAATTGTGTGTGTGCGGCACCAAGAGCAGATTTCACGCTAAGATAAGATAAACTTTCAACCTCCCGTAAAAAAAAAAAAATCAGGGGAACACCAGCAATATAACAACGTCAGCTATCTGGCAACCTGGCAACCTAGCAGCAGCTTTTAGGTAGTCAGAATTTACTTATTGAAGATGGCTGCGGGCCGCGGAAGAGGGGGCAGCAGACCATTTAGTGTTCGAGGAGGCCGCGGAAGGGGCCAGAAGGGCGGCCGTGGAAGCCGACGACCGACCTTCGAAGCCTCGAGGGTGGCAGAAGCTCAGTACGATATTCTTCCATTGCCATTGTCTTCACAACGGAAAACTAACTGTGACTAAGTCATGAGGATTCCTCAGAGGATGGATCGGTACACTTGGGAAGCGATCTAGACGCAGAAGATCAACTAGAGGCCCCCGACGAAAGTTCCTCCAGCAGCAGTGATGATGAAGAGGACGAGAACAGGACGGAGAAACCATATAATACGTTACTACAATTGCTTAACACTGGGCAAGGTGTCGGTGGACCAGCTAGGAAAAGGCGGAAAATGGACCATAATTCCAAGAAAGTCGATGTTGAAGTGAAGGGCTCCGATGAATCCGATGCCGAGGGACTTTTATTGGAATCAGAAGGCGAGGAAAGCTCTGAAGGCGAAGAAATGGAGGATATGCCTATGGACGAAGTCAGAACAGAGAATTCTGGTGACGAAAACGATGGTATGTGACCAGCTGCTAAAAATGATATATCTATATATTCTGACTACTTTTGCTAGCATCGGATCCGTTTGAAATACACTTCTCAAATGTAGACAGTACACTGCTATCGCAGAAGATAAAGGCTATCTCCTCAAAGGGCTGGCAATCGCATAAAAGTGAACTTCCAGGCAAGTTAAGGTTGATGGCCAGTCAGCCAAATACAGAAGGCCATATAATACAGGTACTGCCTGCAACTCAGGGTGTTGATAATTTGAAGGTATGTGGATTGCTTTGCAAACCGCATCACATAAGTAAGCTAACAAATCGTTTAGTTGAAGCAAAAACTGGCAAAGCATGCAGGCGACCATATCTCTAAACTTGATAGCCTTGCTTCAAGCCTTGTCCCTTACATTTTCGGCTACCAAGACTTACTTTTCGGTGCAAGAACGCTATCCAATTCTGCAACGTTCCGAGATCTCTACTGCCTGCATGTTCTAAACCATATCCTTAAAACTCGAGACCGGGTGTTGAAAAACAACTCTCGCCTGCAAAAGGAACCCGAATCAGATCTGGAATTGCGAGACCAAGGCTTTACCCGCCCCAAAGTGTTGATCATATTACCAACTCGACAAGCTTGTGTGAGGGTCATGGAATCTATTACGAAATTATATCAGGCAGAGCAGCAGGAAAATAAAGCTAGGTTCTATGAGACCTTTTCTGCTGCCGATGATAAGTCGTGGGAGCACAAACCGGACGACTTTCGGGAACTGTTTGGTGGGAATGATGATGATATGTTCAGGTTGGGCTTGAAGTTCACACGGAAAACGATCAAGTACTTTTCACAGTTCTATAATTCTGATATCATACTGGCAAGTCCGCTGGGTCTTCGAATGGTCATGGATAAAGAAGAGTATGTGTTTGCGAGCGACTTTGCTTGTAGTTTCCCTTGGGTATCAAACAGCTGACGGGTTTCTTTTGAACGATTCACAGTGGTGAAAAACAAGACTTCGATTTCCTTTCTTCAATCGAGATAGCCATTGTCGATCAAGCAGACGCTCTCCTAATGCAGAACTGGGAGCATACCGAATACGTCTTCTCACACCTAAACCTGCAACCGAAAGAATCTCACGGCTGTGACTTCAGTCGCGTCCGTAACTGGTATTTAGATGACCAGGCCAAATATGTCCGCCAAACCCTCACCTTCTCATCCTTCATCACCCCCGAAATAAACGCCCTATTCTCATCTCGGATGCAAAACACCGCAGGCAAAATCAAAGCCACCCCAACCTACGAAGGTGCCATCCTCGACATTCCACTGCCAGTCCCCGTCAAACAGACCTTCTCTAGATTCAATTCGTCATCCCCCGTGAAAGACCCCGAAAACCGCTTCAAGTACTTTACCAGCACAGTTCTTTCATCTCTCATCCGCAGCTTCACGGGCAGAGGAGGAACCCCCAGAGCGTCAGGTACTCTAATCTTCATCCCATCCTATTTGGACTTCGTTCGCATTCGCAACTACCTCGCCACCTCCTCACAGACGGAGCATCTCTCCTTCGGCGCCATATCAGAGTACACATCTGTGCGCGACGTGGCTCGGGCGCGGACTCATTTCTTCAGCGGCCGCCACTCGGTCCTGCTCTACACGGAGCGAACGCACCATTTCCGCCGCTATCAGATCCGAGGAGTGAAAAGGATTATCATGTATGGTGTGCCGGAGAACCCGGTTTTCTGGGGGGAGGTTGTAGGGTTTCTGGGTTTAGATCCGGCGGGGGCGGCGGAGGCGGCGGAGGGCGGTGTGCGGGCGTTGTTTTCGAAATGGGATGCTTTGAAGATGGAGAGGATTGTTGGGACGAAGAGGTTGGGTAATATGTTGATGGAGAAGGGGGGGGATACGTTTAGTTTTGTATAAGGTGGCAGGTGGAAGTGATTGTGTAGTGCGTTCAAAATAGCATGTTCTGGATACTCCCACGAATTATCCTATGATCTTATATCTATTCTTTTTTATTTATTTGTATATATATATATATATATATATTTATTTATTTATTTATCTATTTACTTATATATCTTTTCCCTCTAATCTTCTCCTCCTTTCCGGTTCTCCCTAGGGTAAACAAATCTCTATTCTTCCCAACGTAAATTTGTTGACCGCGTCCTGTCAACCGGCATTAGGGCTGTTCTATTGTTGGAGCCATACATAGTTTCGACATTGACAGCACAGCATGATCGTTGCAAAGCTCAGTCGCAAGGTTCCACTCTCTCAGAGCTAAATATAATAACCACAAAGTCGTAGAGAGTTAACTTGCACCTCACGATCATGAATTTTCAGCGGATCGACGATGTGGATGTACCATGTAAGTGGCAACCCCATTAACGGTGCTCCGTAAAACATCCATATTTGACTTGACTAATTTCCCAGAGACAGCGCGTTTCCCTCCAGCATCCATCGGTGTAGAAGCCTGTCAAGGCAGAGGCCCCCTAATTTTCAATTCCAACCCAGGCCAGAAAATTGTTGCAGGTATATTTATACCTACCGAGCGGGACAACCAGAGAAAATCGCCCCCACGCTGTTGAAGTAATAAACTTCGGAGCCTGGCCCCCTTAGACCGTATAAAAGCTCTGGGAGCCTGTAACGGGTGATTGGGTGGACCCAGCGCAATCGGCATTTCCACGGACTCTCAGGCAGAGAGTATCACCCCTGGGCAGGAATAGCAGCTATACCAAGCAAAGATCTGGCTAACGGCTAGTGGGTTAAATACGCTCTCTCGTCTCGGGGAGTCGGAGGAGATAAATACTCTGAAACATCCGCATTGCCTCCCTCCGCAATAACTATCTGATCCTGATATGAAATCGCTCTCTCGTGGCATTCGTTGATTCGAGGATCCCCGAATACAGATTTACTTCCGGAACAACTTTTCTCTTTCTTTAAAAGAGCCTGGAATTTATATCAGGGAAAAAATATCCAAGACTCCTCTTCATAGTCATACGTGGACCATGTCCACCGGACGACAGAAAGAGAGCGCGGCGGAACCGCCTGTCGAATCCGCAGATCCCTCGAACAATGCTCTATCTCAGGACGGAGATATGATATTATCCAATGGGCAAACTTCTGCGAGGAGCCTTATCTACAACTACACTCGTCCAGATCGATCCACAGAAGATGCAAATGAGGAATCACAGGAGACTCATTCACGTAGAATAGAAACTGCTCCGCCCCCTTCCTCTTCCGCCACCACCACAGACCAGCATGGCAATAAACTCCAATCCCCATTTCTCGACCTTCATGTTTCCGCCCCGACCGCCTTCCCGGATCCACTGGAACCCTCACAGCCCAATTCCCCTCTGAACAACAACAGAAGCGCCCCGCCAATGCAAACATGGCGCCACAAGCTCCACCATTCATGGCTCATGAGCAAGGGGATGGTCCTGGTAATGCTCGCTCAGTTCTTCGGCGCATCCATGAACGTCATGACCCGTACGCTTCAGTTGGATGGGAATCATGGAAAAGGCATGCATCCGTTTCAGGTTCGTAGCTTGCCGTTTCACAAATACACACATCTATCTATACATCTATCCATTAACCCAAGATAAAATATGAAATCAAAAATAAAAACCACCCAACTAACCCCTCCCCCACCCATCCAGATCCTCTTCGTCCGCATGGGCTCCACCGTCCTCCTCAGCGCCCTCTACATGGCCTACACCCGCGTCCCGCACCCCCTTGGCCAGCGCCCCGTGCGCCCCCTCCTCCTCCTCCGCGGCATCAGCGGCTTCTTCGGCGTCTTCGGCCTCTACCACTCCCTCCTCTACCTCGCCCTGTCAGAAGCAACAGTCCTAACCTTCCTCGCCCCCATCGGCTCCTGCTACCTGTGCTCACTAATCATGCCCAACGAGACCTTCACGCGCAGACAGCAGATGGCCGCGCTGGCCTCGTTATCTGGTGTCGTGTTGATTGCGAAGCCGTCGTTGCTTGTTCACGGTTTCTCAGCGGTTGTTGGGGGGTCCGCTGATGCTGATGCTGATGCTGCTACAGACACCGAGCGATATAAACGCACACTTGGCATGCTCTCCGCACTCCTGGGCGTCCTAGGCGCCACGGTGGCGTACAGTTCCATCCGCATAATCGGCAAGCGCGCCCACCCGCTCGTCAGCGTGACGTATTTCAGCGCTATAACGACCGTAGTCTCGTTGCTGGGTGTGCTGTTGATACCATCCGTCACCTTCCGGTTTCCGGAAAATGTCACGGAGTGGTTACTGTTGGTTGGACTGGGAACGTGCGGGTTTATATTACAATTTTTATTGACGGCGGGGTTGTCATATGTGCCGCCGTCGGTGACCGGTGCGGAGAAGGGGGTGAACCCGGTGGTGGTGGTGGGGGAAGAGGCGGTTGGTGTTGTCGATGTCGATGGCGATGCGGAGCGGGAGGGGTTGTTGGAGGAGGGGGGGCAGAGAGGGCAAGCACTAGTACAAGTGGAGGAGGGAGACGGGGGTAAGCAGGTAACGGCCAAGCCATCCACGCACGGCTCCAAGGCGACATCCATGGTGTATACGCAGATGCTCTTTGCGGTGTTGTACGATAAGATCGTATTCAATGCGACGCCGTCGTTGGTAAGTTGGGCTGGGTCTGGGATTATTGTTGCTAGTGCAATGTATGTGGCGTCGGCGAAGGAGAAGAGGCAAGGGAGCGGTGGTGGTGGTGATGATGGGGGAGAGGACGGGGCTTGTGATGGGGTTCAACGACGACGGGCGAGACATATGCGGGTATGGAGTGTGGAGGATGCACGGTTGGCGGAGGCGGAGGAGGGGAGGGAGCTGTTGGAGGATTATGATGGGGGTGAAGGGGGTGAAGGGGGTGAGGGGAATAGGAGCAGGCGTTCAGGTTTGAATTTGAATGGATGGGATTGATGTTTTGAAAAGGGGGATTTGGTATATGTATACGTTTATAATGGACGTTTTGGAGCGGAATCATGGCAATCTCTGGATAAATTCTCAGATACATAGGTGTATATAGATAGAGCAAGTTCGTTTTCTAGTCGCAAACAACACAAATTATATACAAGACTCTCGTACTTCCCCATCTCACCACCCCATTACTTATTTACTGGGAACCTTTTATACCATTTTGTTTCTCCCTTCGTTGGCTGGTTCACCTTGGCAAATTCCCCCTTTCATCTTCGTCTCCATCTGCTCAGCGCATGGCTGCCACGATCCCACCACTACACACATGCATTATACAATCATTCCCCAGGTAAACCTGCAATCATGGTCCAATTCCCATGTACCACCCCTAAATACCTCTTCCCCATTCCATCCGTCCATCCATCCATTTATAAATATACAAAATCTACATATGGCAACAAAAAAGAGGAGAAAAATGACAACATCCCCCTCCTCCTTCCTCAGCCACACACCATTCATCCATTCATCTATGCATCCACCTCCAACGTCGCTCAGCAACTCCCAGCCGCGAGTCCCACTCCACAACCCATCCGTCCACCACACCCCGAAAAAGCAATGCACCACACAAACTCCTCCATCTCACAACTCAACATCCATAGGCGTAGCTGTAGTCCCATCAACCGACTCCTTCCTCCCAGCACCAGCTTCAACTTCCTTAGCCCTCCCACGTTGTGTTTGTTGTTTCTGTTGTAGCGACCTCTCCTCCCCATCCGTCCGTTCCCGATCTCGATCCTCATCACTCGCCGACGGCGACGAGACCTGTTCTGGATCCGTACCCACATGCCTGCTCTCCGTATCATTTAGCGACGTACGACTGCGCGTCATCTTCAAACATCACCAAAACACAATCAGCACATGCACGTCTCACAGAAAAGGAAATATGAATTACGCGACGAAAACTCACCCAAGCCCGAACCCCCCCAATTAACCCCAAACTATAACCCGTCGCAAAATCCTCGCTCCTACCCACCCCGCCCGCCCCAGGACTCTCCGGCCGACTGGGCGGGATATCAAGTCTGTGTAGCTGCGATCGATTTCCGGCCCCAGTCCCAATACCGAAATAGCTGCCATTACCATTACCATTATTACCTGGACTTATCGCGCCCGCTCGCGGAGAATCGATGCTCCCTCCACTGACATTCCGTGCCGGACTGGAGGGTCGACTATTTGCCCAGAACTGCCGGAGCTCTTTGCCAAGCTCCTGCCCAGTGACGGACCAATTATTCTTGATGGAGTCGCGCAGTTCGGCAACGTGGCGTTTGATTTCGAGCTCGTTCTTTTTCAACCAGGAGACGTTTAATTCTTGGCGGGAGGTGCCGCGTTTTAGTTGGCGGGTTATGTATTTTTCGTAATCGCGGACGATGCTGGGAGATGTCAGCAATAATTTGAAAATAAGTAAGATTAACAATAGAGGATCCGGGGGGTAGAGGTAAAAACGTACTGGGTAATAATCCCCGTCGTACTAACCCCCTCCGTCCTCTGCGTGACCAAAAACTTCCCCTGCGCCTTAATTGGCGCGTATATATCATCGCCCTCCGCAGCGCCATATGGCAGATCGTCATGCGCGACATAGTCGATCTGATGTTTCTCAAGGAACTCGGGTGTGACGATCCAGGGGCAATCGGGTATGACTTCATCGACCCATCGACAGTGGCGGACTGTCTCGGATCGTTCTGTGCCCGTTAATACGGTTAATCCTTTGCGTTTGTGCGTTTCGTGATCCGAGGTTACGCCTACGATGAGGTAGGTTTCTGGGAAGGCCTTTTTGGCTTGTTCAAGTTGGCGCATGTGGCTGGGTGGTTTGGATGGTGGATGTTAGGTTGATCTTTGTTTGCGTAAATGAGGTGGGTGGGTATGCCATGAAACATAGGGGCCACCATAACAAGAAATAAAGGAGAGAGGGGAGGAATCTGAAAAGAAAACATACCCGAGATGAAACAAATCAAACACCCCATCCGCATACACCCGAACAGGCCTCCCAGTTGGGGGTGGGTTCGTATGATAACCCGCGGGATCCTGCAACCCCGCACGTTCCGGCGGCTTCAGGCGCTCCTCCTCCTTGCAGCGAGTCCCCACACTAGCAGCCGTCGCCGTTCGAACCGTCGTCGCCAAACTCGGGGTCCTGTACGAGGTAGCGGAAGAAGGCCCCGTGCGCCTCTTGGCAGCTCTCTCCTCAATATCAGCGCTCGCCTCGGTCGTCTCGGATGGTTCGCCTGGGTCTTCTTTGCTGATGGAGGTGGAGTTGGAGTTGGCTGTGATTGTCTTAGAGGTGCCGTTTTGGGAAGTGGAGGCTAATGTGTTTGCGGTATCCGCTGCGGCGGCGGTTGAGCGATTACGGGGTCGTTTGGATGGGGGACTGTTGGAGGAATCGAGTGAAGTGATGGGATTTCCGTGTTTGAGCGATGATGAAGCAGCGGTGGTGGAGTCGCCTTCCTCAGCAGAGGCATCGCGGGAAGAGGGTTGGAGGTCAATGATTGAGGGTTTGGGGTTAGGGGCCGCTGTGGAGTGGGAGTTGCTCCGTTTCCGCTTTGAGGCGGAGCGGGTGGAGGATGGGGATGACATTGTAAGGTGTATATTTGTATTTTGTATTTTTGTTTCGTTGGTTTATTTTTATTTTTTTTATTTTTTTTATTTTTTATTTTTATTTTTTTATTTTTTATTTTTTTATTTTCCTTTTTTTGTTGGCAGCGATGAGATATCCTTCCCCCTTTTTTACAGGGTGAGTTGAAGGGAGCTGGACCCTTTACTCAATCAATTGGGAGAAAAAAAACCAAGAGACAGAGAGAGTGACGCTATTGAAGGAGGATATTAGAGATAATATAAATATATATAATTCTGTTTTCGGGTGTATGGAGGACGAGGGCGACGGATGAAAAAAGGGGAGAGTAAAGTTAAAAAAAGGAGGAGAAGAAGGGAATAAAAATAAGAATGTCAGGAGTTGGGCGGATGTTGGGAAGAGAATTTCCCTTGGAACCAGCAGCAGGGAACAGCGGCCAGCAGAGGACCCGCCCGCGTGGGAGTGGCTACGGCGCAACGGGCTGACGCTGGGAACTGGAGCCTAGGACGGTATAGGTATAGGTATGAGTTAAGGCGCGGGAGTGGCCGAGGGGGGCAGTGGAGTAAGGATGAGAGAGCATGAACAGAATTAGGAGGCGAGGAGAGAGGGAGGAGAGAGGACGAGGCAGGTTGAGATCAGAAGGGAAAAGAAGACGGGAAAAAAGAAAATAAGACCAGAGGAAGAGCTGGAGACGAAACATGGTTCGAGGTTCGAGGTTGAAGGTTGGAAGAAGTGCAAAGTTGAGGCTTAGTTGGTTTATTTAGCCGATCCCGGGCGTGGATGACTAAGCACGACAGCTGAAGAATTGGACAAAAGAGCAGAGCAGATCCGGCATATTTATTATATCTGCATTTTTACAGAATTCTTTTCTTTTATTGCCTCCGAGAAATAGAGAAGAAGTGCAATCGCAGACACAGAAATTCTATACATCTACACTCACGGGAGATAAAAGGGAAGGCAAGATTGCAATATAACTAACTCTGCATCTAACCACCAAGGTAGCCAGCAAATCGATTGGATGTATATATGTCTCTGTATGTTGGATTTTTTTTTTTTTTTTTTTCCAACTTCAACGTTTCAAACTCATCAACTGCAATGTGATCTCCCATGTTGAGCTTAGAAGTGTGTAGATGGAAGACAAAGAGAAACAGGGAGATGGAGAAACCGCCTTATGAAAATACCGACAACAATTATAATAAATGCTAAAAAGGATTATATCTTTCCTCTCCTCCTCCTCCTCCTCCTCCTCTTCTTCTTCTTCTTCTTCTCCGCTGGCAAAAACACTCTCACATAGTTGAAGCATGTGCAAAAACAAAACACAGAACAAGAAAGCCAGACTGATGATTACAAATAACAACAGAAGAAGGGATCTGATAATTAAGAAGCAGCAGAAGAAGAAGAGAGGGGAAGGAAAATCAAAGAAAGAAAAGAAGCCAAACAGTAACACCCCCACATCATAGCTATTCCTCAACGAACAGGCGGATGGATGGACGGACAGTGCTTGCTGCTGTGCGGTTGGGAGTTAAGGTACATGACGAGCTTGTGGGTGGATAGAAGGCGGTGGTGAGCAAAAAAGGAACACGCACAAGAGGGACCGGGGACGAGAAGCGACGGGGCTAAACGGTGTGGAAAAGGAGCGAAAAAGAGCGCGGGAGAGAGCACGCAAATCGAACATGAAAACAATAAGAAGTGTATAAACTCATGTAGTATATTCATTAATAATCAAAGAGGTTGAACGCACCCCCATCCCATCCCATCCCTTCTCCGCACCATATCATATTAAATCAAATCGTCGCCATTCCCCTTCCCTTCCCATTCCGTCCCCGTATCAGATCAGATCAGATCAGATCATATGTCCTCCCGCACACATACACATATACCAACCACATAACCCGCTCAATTCATCTGTCATCGACAAGGAGCTCTTCTCCATATAAAAACTCTCATGACATCTTTTTCTTTTGTCTTTCTTTCTTTTTTTCTTTCTTTTTTTTTTCTTAAATGGTAAAAAGAAAAGAGAAGAAAAACGCATTCTTTGTTACTCATACCACTACAGCCCAGAACAGACAAGACAGTCACAGAGAGAGATAGACTTGAGGGAGGGGAAGAGGGAATATATAAAAAAAAAAAGGGAGAGATTAAAGGGGGAGAGGGGGTACGCAAGAAGTTAAGGAAAGAAGTCAAGCGGAAATTGACAGGATCTCTTTTTCAACGCAAAGTTAGAGGTAAGAAGTTAAGAAGGTAAGAAGGTTGGAGGAACGCAAAACATATGTAGAATAAACAAGAAAACCACGGGACAGACAACACAGAAAGAAAAACAGAAAAACACAAGACAAGCAAAAAAGAAAAAGAATAAAAGAAATAAGGAGAAAAGGAAAAAGGGAAGAAGAAAACGGGAAAAAGCAAAGGAAAGAAAAGAAAAGAAAAAATCATGACTTTGACCCAGCCGTATTTGAACCCGACCCCGAATCCGTAGACGTTGACCCAGCACCAGCACTAGCACCAGCCTTCTCCCCGCCACCAGCCAACACATCATTCGGCGTCGTCGACGAAAGTGACACAGAGATTACCCGCGGCGACTTAGCCCCATCCAGCTCTTGCTTCCCTCCCTGCACGTGCCCTTGGCCCCTCATCTCAGCCTGCGGTGTCGTCTGGCGATTCGACTGCGACTGCCCCCGTCGCCCTTCCGGCTCCGGCTCCGGCTCCGGCGTCCCCGCCCTGACCCCCAGATCGTCATCACTCTCGCTCTCACTCTCACTCTCACTCTCACTTCCACTCTCATCCTCTTCATCATCCCGGGCACGCCTGGACCCAATAGCACTTCCACTTCCGCGTCCCTGGCCCTTACGCACCTGGCTCTCCAAATCCCTCTCCTCCTCTTCTGCATCGGCATTATCAAACATATCCTCCTCGGCCATGTCGGTCATGACCTCCGTCCCGTCGCCAAGCAGGATAATGCGTCCCGATCGCCCGCCGCGAAGGCGCGAGTTACTGTCAAGGCCTGACTCGTAGTCGTCAAGGTTTGTGTCGTCGAATTGGCGGCGGATGCCGGGGCCACGGAATTCAGCTATGAGTTGGGGTAATTTGGGGTGAGTATTTCGTTTGCGGGGTTTTCTGGGGAGGTGATAGGGGGTAAGGTGTGTAGATGGGTAGGAGTTAAGGTGACAGGGGGAAAGAAGAAGGGAAATGTCACATACCATATTCAGGCGGAGCGCAGGGTCCGTCACCATTCGCCACGCGTTCTGAGATGGTCTTGTACCACTCCTGCTTGGTCTTGCCGTGGAGCAATCCGACAATGATCATGGTCATGTTATCGCACCCCACACCGCCCGTCTCGCTATTAGACGCCAAGCAATTGTCCATCATGTTTTCGCAAATGCGATGCAGCTCCTGCTTCGCAGCGATGCCGCGTCTGACAAATTCAATCACAGCCTGTGAAGATTGGCAATCCCAAATACCTGGATAGCATTCGTTAGAACTAGAAGGAAATTGTCGCTAGACGGAAAAGAGTGAAAATCACATACCATCACATGCAATGACAAGGAACTCATCATCCTCCGTGATCTCATGTGTAGTTACGTCAGGATACGCCGTGACAATCTGCTGTTCTGGTGCCAGGTCTGCGCTCTTTTTGAATTCGAAATCGCCCAGTGCACGGGAAAGTGCGAGGTTCCCATTAACTCTGCCAAAATCAACGAAGCCGCCAGCAGCGCTTATCCGTGCCTTTTCACCTGTTCGCATTTGTAAGAAACAGTGGTCGTCATGGAAATGCAGTAATTGAGGATCACGAACCTTCATTTTGTGGTTTGTGGTCGAAGGATAAAGGCTTTGCCCGCCCTTTGACTCCAAGGACGGATCTTGAATCACCAGCATTTGCCTGTTACGACACATTAGTACACAGGCACGAAACCGAGAACACCACTAGCATCATGATCAACATACTACTATAATCTTGTCCTTTGAAATGACCGCCACAGACGCTGTGCATCCCGAGACCTCTTCCTCGTACTTTGGATCTGTATAAAAACGGCATTAAATATTAGCGCAGACAACTTCCAAGTTGTGTGAACCATAAAATATCTGTTCGTATAATTTAATATACCTTCCAAAATCGCCCTATCAGTCGCCAAAAACCCATCCTTCAGCGCCTGCTCGATATCACCTTTCGCAAAGGCTTCTTGTGTCGCAACGATGCGATGGACGTTATCTCCCGCGAACAAGGCGACCTTCTCCCCGCCGTGGCCATCGTAGACACCGAAGAAGGATAAGCGTTTACTGGGATCGGTGGGACGGTGATTCTTGTCTAGGTATTTCGCTTGAAGGTCCAGGACTGCGGCGTGTGCGTCCTCCATGCTTATTCTCCATCCTTGCATAGCGGACACTCCATACAGGACGCATTCATCTTGGCTTTCGTCTGATATCTATCATTTTTTTTTTTGTTGTTGGCATTTGCCATGGTGTGTTAGTGAAAGGTGGATAAACGGTTTTTTTTTTTTTAAAAAAAAAAAAAAAAAAAAGGGGGGGGGGGGGGGGGGGAGAAAAGTATGTGCCAAAATAATTAGGACTGGGCTAAAAACGGAGGGGTAATGGGAAAAAAAGACCGGGAGGGAAATGTGGGGGAAAACGGGAAAAACCCCAAACCCGGGACTCCGGGGTTGCAAGAATCCCCGGGAAA